CGCAACTGCGGCAGATCGCGCCTCTTCGTGCTTCCGCTTGCTCGCCCGACTTGCGCGTCCGTGGCCGACGAAGACGATGTTTTGGTGGATGCCCTCGCACCAGTGCGTGCTGAAGGTCTTCTCGTTGAGCTCCTTCTGAATGACCTTGCCGATTGGGGGCAGCGCTGCCAAGTGGAGCTTTTCTCTGACTCCGCTACTGCGGTCAGGGTCATCCTCCCACTTGGGCATGTACTTCGCTGGAACCCAGCGCCGAGAGATGATGGAGTCGCTTGTTCGATGCATCCAATCAGGGAGCCACTGGGGATCGTTCTTCGACGGCCTCCCTGCAAAATCAATGTTGTAGTCCGCAATGCGCACGTCGCACGGGCCAATGGGGAGGACGTAATTCGGATGCATGACGCGTGTGCCCTTCACAATGCCTCCGAACAGGGCGGGTCCAGCCCTGAACACCACCCCCACCGGGCAGGTGCAGCTGGCTCCGCAACTGCGGCCCAATGCTGCGAGCTGCTCAGGCGGGATGTCAAACAGGCCGCACAAGAACCGCACATCATTTTTATGGATGGCAGCAACCGCGTCCTTGAAGAAAGCTGGATGCCACGCTTGTTGTTCTGTTTGCGTGATCTTGTGTTGGAGACGTTCGGTGACTGCGTGTCTGGACACGACGGCAAAACGGATCACCGCGGCAGGATTCATCTCGGAGCCCTTCAGGCGAAAGCTCAGGATCGTGACGGCGTGGGTGGCCCCATGAACATGACCCGCAACTGCGGTCTCTGCGATGATGTGCGGGCGCACGAGCACCAGGCCCGTCTCTCTGAACAGGGGAACCGTCGTCCAGTAAGGCTCCTCGGAGGCGTTTTTCATAGCGACAGCGTTGTCGATGGCACTCCTGAGTCCAACGCGAACGTCGTAGCTGCAAGCGCCTTCGACGTTCCCCGTGCGGAACAGCTCGGGGTCCCATACGACGAAGACGACCGCCGCAGTTTGGTGCAAGATGCACCTGAAGACATCTTCCTTTGTTGCCACCTTCGTGATGACCACCACGTTGAACACCAAAGCGATGGTGGACGGAACCCGATTGCCGTCTGCTGTACGAAGGAATCCTTCGTTCCACTTGGGGCGTTCCCCAAAGTAGTTTATCCCTGGAGGGGACCTGGTCCGCTGCTTCTTCCGCGGTGCTCCCGCATCTTCCCGCAACTGCGGTTCCGACGGAGGCCCCGCGCGACCCCGCGACTGCGGTTCTGACAGCGGCGAGTCTTCCGTGGGAGGCGGCCTTTTCCTCGGCCGCGAATCGGCCGAGGCGGTTGTCTCGGCGGCTTTCTCCTGGGAGGCGGCCTCGTCTTCGGGTTGGGCGCCTCGTTTGGACTCGGCTGCGAGCAGCACGGCCGAGGGCGCGCTGCTCCCAGATGAGCCGCGCGCGGCACCTGGCTCGCCGGCCACCCCCGCAACTGCGGTCTCGGTGGCGGCTCCCGTCACTGCTGGTTGGTCCTGCTGCTTCGTCGGCGTCTGCGCCCGAGGCCCCCATTTTGCCTTGGGGGTCAAGTGCGCCCTGCGCAACTGCGCCTCTTCGCGCCTCCCACCAGCAGAGCTCCCACTCGCAGCGCTTATCGGCGGCGGCGGCCGATATTCCCGCGAGGAGCTAGACGACTGCGGGGAGGCCTCGCGCGGCGGTCGCTCGGGGCTTCCGCTACTGCGGTCCTCCGTCGGCTCCGCGACTGCGGCATCCGCGGCAGCCCCTTGCGCGCCGAGCCTTTCCCGCAGTTGCTGCTTCAGCTCGGCGAACCGCTTGTCGACCTCGGCTTTGCGAGCTGGGTCCATGGCGTGGCCGCGCGCGGCCCCCGTCCGACGGGGGAACTGCGGCCGGCTTGGGAGAGGAACGGCAACGAGGGAGACGGCGGGGATGAGGACGAGGAAGGCGAAGAGGAGGATGGAGAGGACGCGACGGAAGAGGATGGCGCGAAGAGCTCAGACGAGGGTGAAAGGAGCAAGGGGACTGCGACGAGGATGACGGGCAAGAAACGGAGGAGGAGGAATCAACAAAGTCCGCAACTGCGGCCCTCGGGGGGGAAAGCGACGAGGACGACGGGAAATGACTCGGCCAACGGAGGCGGGCTACGGCCAACGGAAGGAACTGCGACGAGGAGGAAAGGCGGAGGGAGGAGACTGCGACGAGGACGACGGGGAAGGGGATACGAGGACGACGAACAACTGCGGATCCATCTGTTTAAGTACCTGTCTCCGCAACTGCGGCCGCGCTAATTAACGTCACGAGTGCTTCAACGGAGGTGATGCGCGCCCGAAGCACCTAATTACAGCGGTCAGTCGTGGGAGCGCCGCAACTGCGGCCAAGCTGTATGAAGTCGCTAGAAGGCAGCGCCGCAACTGCGGCCGAAAGCGCGCATAGTGAGTCAAACGAGCGCGGCGTCACGCGATCGGTTTCCGCAACTGCGGTTCCATGGCTGCGCAATCCCGCAACTGCGGTGTCAAGGCTGCGCGGACCACCGCGGTTGCAGCTGCGCCCCCTTGCTCGCGTCGAACCGCCCAGGATTCGGATGGGCGTGCAGCATCTTCCAGAACGTGAACGTTCCGTGGCCATCGCTCTTGCCGAGACCTGCCCTCGGGCCCCGCACGGGATGCGAGTGCGGCTCCACCTCATACGTGTTGAACTTCGGGCTAGACCAGGATGGGTGGACGCGAATGCCCGAGCCGTCGTCGCGGATGAGGACGAAATCCCACTGGGGCAGAGGGATTCTTTGCGCCTGTCCTCTGTCCACCCCTTTCGTGTGCCTCATGTTGTCGAGACTGCTAGGGCACGGGCGGCACTCGCAGCGGACCAACCCGCGACTGCGGTCATTGTCAGGGCCGCACACGACGCGCAGCATTGTAGGTCCATCCATCTGCGCGACCATCTCCAGCCAAGACCACGGCACTTTGACAGTGTGGTCCCAGTCCCAATCCCTGTTGTCCTGCGCCTTCCCCTTTGCGCGGTACTTAAGGATCTTCGAAATTTCCTCCGCAACTGCGGTACCTCCGAAGACGGGCGTGCGGCTGCCGAAAGGGTTTTCTCGGTCTTCGTACTCGTCTCGGAACCACTTCAAGGCCGCGTTGTGCTGCTTATAATTGCCGTTCCAGTTCGCCCTGAAGTTCTCGAAGAATTCCAACTTGAAAATTGGCAGCGGCTCATTGCGCACAATTTGAAACAGCGCAACTGCGCCTTGTTCTTCGCGCCCTGGGGGAAGCAGGGGACCGCCTCCTTTGCCCGCCGCTGTTGCGGCCGCGGGCTCCGCGGCAGGAGAACCTGCCGAGGCACTCGAGCGGCCACCTTCCCATGCATTCCACCAGCCACCCTCGTCGTCCCACCAGCGGGCGCCCTCCATTCCCCAACCCTCGCATCCGTTGCCGCCCCATCCGCCGCCCTCCCATCCGCGACTGCGGTCACTTCCGTCGCCGCCATCCTGCGCTTTTCCTCTCCATCCGCCAAGAGAATCTCCGCCGCCCCAGCCGCCACTGCGGTCACCTCCGCCGCCGTATCCGCCACTGCGGCCGCCCCAACCCCCACTTGTTCCCCAACCGCCGCCGCTGCTCTTTGAAGAATCCGCAACTGCGGCCCGTGTTTCCTCTTCCGCTTTGTCATCCCACCCTGCACGCATCTCTGCCCCGACTGCAGGCCGCGGAGGCGGGCGCGAGCCCGCCCAACCGCCGTGAAACCTACCGTCGGCGCGGGCTTGAGCCGAACGTGCATGGAGGAGGAGGATGAGGAGGAGGAGGGTGAATGTGAGGAGGATGATGCGTTCCTGGGAGGTGTGCCTTCGCGTGCAACACAAGAGCCCTGAGAATTCCTGAGGCCCCTCCAACAGCCAAGGACGCGGATGACAAGAAAGTCGAGAAGATTGGGAACCGATTGAGGATTAAGAGGCGTGCGACGAAAGGGATGATGATGACGAAGAGGAAGATCAGTGAAGGGGAGGAGCGGACAGGAATTATGGAGGAGTGATAGCAGAGGAGGAAGAGGGGGAAGGGGGAGGAGGAGGAGGAGGAGGAGGAGGGAGAGGAAAAGGGGGAGGAGGAGGAGGAGGAAGAGGAGGAGGAGGAGGAGGAGGAGGAGGAGGAGGAAGAGGAGGAGGAGGAGGAGGAGGAGGAAGAGGAGGAGGACGACGACGACGAGGAGGAGGAGGAGGAGGAGAGGGAGAAGGAGAACGGGGACAGGAGGACAAGGACGGAGAAATATAACAAATGAGGGGGAGGAGGCGGAGGAGGAGGAGGACGAGGAGGAGAAGCAGGAAGAGGAGGAGGAGAGGGGGGAGGAAGAGTGCGCGTGAGACTGGGAGAACGAGGTAATTAATTAGAGAGGGAACGGGGGAGGAGGGAGGACAAGGAAGAGCATACAGCGACGAGAAGAGGAGAAGGAACAGACGAAGGCTCCTGCTGATCGCATTTCCGCATCGTTCAAAGCAGTGCCGGGGCACTGCTTTGAACGACTGGTGATGTTCAAAGCAGTTCCCCGGCACTGTGTTCCATCGTCGCCGTTATAAGGGCTATTGGATTATGGTGGCCAGGAAGAGGCCCAGGATGCAACAATTAGAAATGAAAGGATCTTGGCTCCCCCCCTCCAAAAAACAGAGAACTTGCGAAGAATTAAAAGTGAACCATGGGTTTGAAAGGTGGGGTAGGGACAGAGGTCGGGTTGGAGGAACATCGCTCCAAACGGCCCCTGGAACCTAGAAGAAGGACATGCAAGCATCCAGCTGGGTGCGTCCCCCAGCCCCACCTTGGGAGAACCCCCCCCCTACGAACCCCCGAGTCCTCCGAGAGGGGGCACGCTCGGGAGGGATCGGCTCAGAGGGGAGGGAGGCAGCATCGCGACCTGGAGTCGGCGACACGTCGCCGACGACGTCGGCGAGAGAGGCCCCCGCGAGGGAATCCCCACGCTCCTGGGCGGGGCGGAGCCCGATCGGCGAGCCAGGGGTGATCGGCGAGTGGGCCCCCCGACGTCGCCCCCGGTCCTCGTGCAGCACCCGGGCGCTGCACCCCGGCGGCACGGCCGCCCGCAGGGAGGCCAGGCCCGCGCAGTACCTCTGCGCCGCGGAGAGGAAGTACGGCCGCGCGCGCCTCCCCTCGCTGGGGGGCGCCCGCCCCGCACCCCCCCCACCGGCCCTGACCAGGCCCGCCTTGTTGAGCAGGGACCGACCGTCCAGGCATTCCTATAGGCCTACCACGATGTGCTCTGAGAACCCAGAACTGTCCTGAGAACGAAGGCACGGTCCTTAGAACAGAACCCCGATGTGCCAAAACAAAACAGTCCCGGCCAGAAATGTTCTGAGAACACCTCGTGGAAACCACACACGGTTCTTGGACCATGTATTGGCAGGCCTAGAGGCACGCCAGGACGCTTCGCAACTGCTTGACCCCGGGCCGCGCTTCGGCGCGTGCGCCCTCCTGGGCAGGGCAGGAGGCCGCGCGCGCGCCGGGCCTGGGCCCCAGCCTCGGCCTGGCCAGGCTCGGTGGCGAGCGTGCCGCGGGTGCCCTCCGGCCTCCGGGTCCTCCGTGGCCGGCGGCGGCGCGGCCGTGGCCACCGCCACGGCGAGCACGAACCTCGGGCCGGGCGAAAGGGGGGGATAGCAAAGAGGGGGGGGGGGGGGGGAGAATCGGCTCGCGCAGCCGATGTTCCCGGCGCCTCCCGGCGCTGGGAGGCGCCCAGGTACCATCGAGGAGCGGGCCACCTCGGCGGGGCCGAAACCAGCTGCAGGCAGCAGATTTCGTCCCCCCCCCCCCCCCCCTTTCCCCATCTCCCCTTTTCGTCCGGCCCGAGAGCCAGAGGGCGTCCCGCACGGGCCCCGGCCGCATCGCGCCGAGGCGCGCGCGGAGCACCCGCCAGTCCTCCGGGCCGCGCTGCAGCCCCGCCGCGGCCTCTCGCGCGGCGGCGGCCAGCTCCTCCGCGTCCACGCGGGCGAGGTCGCAGTGGTGCGAGGAGACGAACACGCCGAGAGGCGACACGTCGCAGCCCACGGCGTCCATGCCGCCCGCGAGGGCCTCCACCAGCACGGTGCCCGAGCCGCAGAAGGGGTCCAGCACGAGCCGAGACCCCGGCGGCGCCAGCTTCAGGAACTCCTTCGCGGTGGACGGCTGCATTCCGCCGACGTACTTGTATATGCCGTGCGTCAGCTGCGCCTCCCCGGGGGGCACCCGGGGGAACCCGTAGACCCACTGGAGCTCGAGCGCGCGCTCCAGGTGCTCGACCACAGCAGCGGGGCCCTCCGAGCAGAAACAGTACAGCGCCTTCCTCAGCGGCTTAGGCGTGTGCAGCGGCCCGTCGTTGTCCCACCAGGCGTCACCGGTGGGCCGCACTCCTCCGTTCTGCATGCGCTCCGCCCACGCCTCGGCGCGCTCCACCTCGCCCATGCGGGAGCACGCGTTACAGACAGTCGAGTAGCTGACCTCGTCAGGCTGCACGGACGCGCGGAGCATCCACTCGAGAAGCTCCTCTGCGCGGTCCACCTGGGCGGCGCGGGCGCAAGCCCCCAGGACGCCGTTGTACGCGATCCGGGAGGGCTGGATACCGTCCTCCTTCGCGCGACGCAGCCACTCCTCTTCGGGCGCGACAGCTCCGGGGAGACGTAAGACCCAGATTTGGGAGACTCGGGTTGGCCTGACGGGGCCAACATGAAAACGACGAGACCCAGTCTGAAATTCGACGCGAGCTCCCGCCGAAAACATTCCACGGAGACTGGACTGTCAAAGTCCAGGACGCGCTCGTCAAAAGGCGTCGGCAAGACCGAGTTCTGGCGTACCCGTGTCTTTCGCTTCCGCGACAGCTGCACACCAGAACCAGCCCTGACCAAGGCAGTCCTGAGCCCTAGGACGGCGAATACGGCCCAACCTATAGGACAGAAGACCACCCTTCGAGAACAAACATGAGACGCCCCGCCGGCCCGAACTGAAGAACACTCGAGAGCGCCCCCTCCCCAGGATGCACAAGAGAGCATCCGACAGGCACGGAGAACACTATTACGGGGACCCTCCCCGAGCCGACCTCGATCTCACGCCCCGGGGCCGACTGCACAGACTCGTGGGCCCCGACCAGGAGGGCCTGGCGCGGCCCAAGTGCGCCACCCCTGGGGCCCACAGGGGCGGCCCTGGCCCAGGCAGCGGGCGGTCTGGACCAGGAGGACGACGATGACCCCCGACGGTGCCCAGAGGCCCCGGGTTCACGGAAACTCCAACCACGTCCAAAACCAAGCAAAACCGTTGCCCCCGCCCTCCGCGCGGGTCCTCCGCGCGCGCGGGGTCCCCGCGCTCGGCGCAGGCACGGAGGACGGCGCCGTAGTCCCTCTCGCCCCATGGGAGGCCTGCCCGGGCCTGCGCGCGCAGCCACCGCTCGCCGGTGGCAGCGACGGGGGCGAAGCCGCCCCGGGCAAGGGGGCAGTGCGCGTCCATCCAGGGAGGGGGAGGGGGAGGGGGAGGGGAGGGGGAGGGGGAGGGGGAGGAGGAGGAGGAGGAGGAGGAGGAGGAGGAGGAAGGAGGAGGAGGAGGAGGAGGAGGAGGAGGGAGGAGGAGGAGGAGGAAGGAGGAAAGGGGAGGGCAGGGGGGAGGGGGCGCCGACGGTCCATATGCCTTCGGTGAGGCTCCCAGGCGAATGCGGCCGGACCCGGGGCAGAAGAACACCCTTCAAGAACATGGGGCCCTCCGCCGGCCAGAATACGCAGCACGCTCGAGGGTGCCCTCCCCCAGGATGCACAAGAGCATCCAACGGACACGAAGAACAGGAGGGCACCCTCCCCGAACCGACCTCGATCTCCTACGTCGGTCCGACCAGACGTGCACTGTCCGCCCCTGGGCTGGTCGCCCCTCTCGTCGCCTCCGAGCTCGGCCCCCTCTGCGTCGCCCCGGCGCGCATAGGCGTCCACGACCCCGCCGTAGGAGAAGCGGTCGGCCGCGAGGCGGGCCCGCCGTAGCTCCTCGAGCCAGTGCTCGGCCCTCTCGGCGGCGCTCTGCTTGGCGCAGGCGCGGATGACGGCGCTGTAGCACGCCGCGTCCACCTCGGCGCCGGCCTCCAGCAGGGCTCGAGGCTAAACAGGATGTCTCGCTTTCGTCGTGTTCTCGCTCTTGGTCGAGCCACGGGAGCGACAGCTCGAAGCGTCAGTTCGTTGTGTTTTCGTGTTCCTTCGTTCCGTCGTCGTTCTGCCTTCTACTGCGAAGCGAAATCAAACCGAACACAAGCCACGAAATCGCCGAAACACCATTTCGCTCGAGCCCTGGCCTCCAGCATCCGGCCCAGCCAGCCCTCAGCGCGCTCGGCCGCACTCTGCTGCGCGCACGCGTGGAGGACATTGCAGTAAGCGATGGTGTCCGCGCGCAGCCGCGACTCCAGCATCTGGGTCAGCCAATGCGCGGCGGCGGGGGCAGGGAGGGAGGCGAAGGGGGCGGCCTTCTAGAGGAGGCAAGCGGAAACCAAGAAGGGCCCAGAGGCTTCCGAGAAGGCTTTGCAGAAGGCAGGGGGGCTTCCAAGAAGCCCCCCCGCCTTGTTAGAAAGCCACCCCCCTCGTCCCACACGCCTTGGCTCGCCACCGCAATGCGCTGCCCTATCCACGTCCTTGGCCTTTGCACAGGCGTGTATGACGCTGTTGAACACTGCATCGTCCGCGTCCACCCTGGCCTCCAGCATTCCCTCCAGCCACCGCTCGGCGTCGCGCACCCGCCCCTCCTGCGCATAGCCGTTAATGACGCAGCCGTAGCCGAACTCGGTCGCAGCGATGCGAGACTCCTGCATAGTGCGGAAGCACCGCTCCGCACACGCCATCCCCCTGAGCCGAGCGTGGGCGTTGATAGCGATGCAGTAGCTGCCCTCTGTCGGCGAAACGCTGTACTCCCGCATCCTCGCCACCATCTCCTCCGCTGCCTGGCGCAGAGTGCGGAACCAGAAGCCTACGCCCGCCGCTCAGCGTCGCCTTTCTCATCCCATCTCTGGTTCCTCTGGGAAGTAGGCGAGGGGAATGGACGCGGCAAGAAACATGACTAGGAGAACGAGGATCAGAACGAGGAGGACGAGGAGAAGGGAGACGAAGACGAGGAAAGGACGAGCAGGGTACAGAGCAGGTGGAGGACCAAGAGGACGATGACGAGGCTTTGCTTGTCTCCTCCAGGCGCGGCCCAAACCAGCAACTCTGGCGCACTTTGGGTTGGCTACTTCGGCAGAACCTACTCCTACGACTCTACTGCTACAGATCTGACAAAGCGATTGGGGTGTGCTCAGATCTCTGGCGCCCATCCACAGCCCGTGCGGCCTAAGCCTGCCGGCTTGCGTGCCCTTGCGCCCTGGCGCAGCGCAGACTCTCAGGGAGGAGCAGGGACGCGAAGAAGGGAGGAGAGGCAAGTTGGGAGTGTGCCAAGGGGAGCGCCACACGGAGTCAGACACCAAAGCCTACGTATGCTCCCCCCAGTCGCTTGGCCTGGGCAGGAAAAACTAAAGCGTGCCGCTTAAATGCGCCGGCCCCTTCTAGAGGCACAAGGCTGGGTGTATGTTGTCATCTCTCTCTCTCTCTCTCTCTTATCCTGCCTCCCGCCTCCTGTCTCTCTCTGGTCCTTTGCTGTCCGTCAGGGGTTGGAGAAGATCCCAGTACAACGTGTTCAATTAATCGAGTTGTTCCCTAGACAGTGCTTGTCCTCAGGGGTCCTTACTTCTTTGGCGTGCTGGTCTGGCGGCTATGAAGTCGCCATCGCCGCCCCGTCACCGCCCCGTCGCCGCCCCGTCGCCGCCTCGCGTCGCGGCATGTCTTAACCCAGCGTTGCGCGGATGTCCACGGCGAAACGGGTTGTACCTCCTCAGGTTATGAGGCACGTCGAAGCCCAGAGTTGCGAGGATGTCCCAAGTGAAATGGACCAGACCACTCCGCGCGTTGCATATTGGACCCCGGAGTTGCGAAGAGATCCCAAGCTACATGGGCCAGGCCACCTCGCCCCTGGCAACTCGGGGCCCAAAGTTGACAGAATCTCTCATCCCAAGGTGAGGCAGCGCAATGGGGAGTGACGCAACAGAAATGCAATCCCATGCGTTGTAACGCAATGCCGCGCACTGAAATGCAATGGCACGCCATGCACGTGCAATGCGTGTATGCCACATGCACGTGCAGATGGGCATGAACCAAACACTTCCACTGTGGGGGATGCGAGGTAACACGAGGGAGGGGAGCACGAGGAGGATGAGGAGGAGGAGGAGGACGAGGAAGAGAGGAGGAGGAGGAGGAAAAGGAGGAGGAGGAGGAGGAGAGGAGGAGGAGAGGAGGAGGAGGAGGAGGAGGAGGAGGAGGAGGAGGAGGAGTTGTTTTCCACAGCTGCCCATTCAACTTGACATGAGCTACTGTTCAACACCAGTAGCAGGAGGCGGGGCTGGCAACAGGATCACGCACATCGGAAGCGCACTCAGCAGAACAGAAGCTCACTTAGCAGGAACAAGACTTATTGGATCCGTCGCCTGGCCAACTGCTTGCCTGTCCATGGCTTTCGGCCCGTACCGCCATCGTGCCTGGATTGTGGCTCAGAAGCTTCTTGGATACATGTCTGAGTCTATTGGCATGCTGCTCGGGCGTCTTTTGGAGCCTGTTTTGAAGCGTCTGCGGGCCTCTCTGGGGTTTTTCGGGAGCCTCTTCGGGGTTCATTTAAATCCCTTCGGGGCCTCTTGGGGGCCTGCTGGTGGTCTCGGGGGTCCACTGGGTGTGGAGGGCCCGAAATGGTATTTGAGATTCCCCTTATTGGGGCCTCTTGGGCCGTCTTGGGCGCCTCTATTGACGCTCTCTTTTGGGCCGCCGTGGGGCCCTCTTGGGCGCGTTTTGGGCTGTCCTGAAGCCGAATTAGCCGGCCCCGAAGAGGCCCCAAAACAACCCGCTGAGTGCCACAGAAGGGCCCCCAACAGGCACCCGAAAAAAAACACATCGAACTACATGCAACGTTGCATCCACCACACTGTACAGAAGCGTACCGTGTATGCAACGCAGCTACAATGCCACGCTACGGGGGGGGATTGTAGCACTGCGTACCCCATCGGCGCAACACTGAGAGATAGCGGTCGCTGGTGCGCCGCAGGCGTCCTCGATCTAGAGAACATGACAAAGGGAACTTGCCGCACAGGATTGAAACGGGCTGCGCGATCGGACAAACGCCTGGTCAGGGCTAGCAAGGCTGATGGTAGCAGAAGGCAGAAATTAGCCTGGCGAATGACCCAAACATATGCAGATGTGAATACCGCAATTGTGGATACAATTTTCGTCCGCGCTCACTATGTAGCCACGGTTTCCCGCCAGAGCCCGACATGTTCAGGGACACGTTCGTGGCCGTTTTCGCGGGCGGCGACGACGACGAGGGCGGCGTCCCTCTGACCGAGGAGCAGAAGCAGGAGAGGGCTCTGAGAACCATGAGGGAGGGTGCCAGTGGCGCCTTCGGTGGAGCTCCTATGGGGCCACGATCCTCGTGAGGGGTGTGCGAAATGGCCCGAGGCCGCCATGCGCACCTTGCTAGTGGCGCCGCTGGTGGACCCCATATGGGGTCACGATCCTCGTGAGGGGTGTGCCGAAATGGCCCAAGGCCGCCATGCGAACCCCACCACTGGCGCCTTCTGTGGGGCTCCCTATGGGGCAACCAAGCGTGTGAGGGGTGTGCCGACATGGGGCGAGGCCGTCAAGCAACCTTTCCGTCTGGGGCCTTAGGTGGAGCTCCCTATGGGGCCACGAAGCGTGCCAGGGGTGTGCCGACATGGGGCGAGGCCGCCATGCAACCTTTCCGTATGGGGCCTTATGTGGAGCTGCCTATGGGGCCCAACACGAAAAGCGGTGAAAGGAGGGGTCGGCGGGCGCGCGCGTAGGGCGGGCGGCAGAGAAACGGGCGAGGAGGGAGGAGGGAGGAGGGGGAGGAGGGAGGAGGGAGGAGGGGGAGGAGGGGGAGGAGGAGGAGGAGGAGGAGGAGGAGGAGGAGGAGGAGGAGGAGGAGGAGGAGGAGGAGGAGGAGGAGAAGGAGGAGGAGGAGGAGGAGGAGGAGGAGAGCAGGCAGAGCAGAGCAGCACCAATGATCCGATGACCCCAGACGCCTCGAAACAGCCACCTGCAGGGCCCGCAAGGAAAACAAAAACGGATCAAGCGTTCGAGAACCACTTAGGGGGCCCTGCAGGGGGATTCCACTGCCAAAGGGAACGCCACGAGGGCTCGCCCATGCACTCCCGCGCTGTGGAGGGTCGAAGGCAAGCGACGACTGAACCTACCCCAGCACATCCCCAATCAGGACTCACGGCGCGGGACCGCCCAGACGTCCGAGGCCCGCGTGGACCCCGCGACACGGCCCTCCCCCAGAGAACTCTCAGCCAGGCGCAGCTGCCGAGGGGCCTCAAAAAGCGCCCGAAAACGCGCGGCGCCCAAGAAAGCCCAAATGGGGGGAAACCTGAAAAAACTCGAACCTCCAGGGCACCATCCGAATACTCGAGAATCGCGGTAGAGGTCCGAGACTGAAGGGCGAGGAGGGGAGCATCAGACAGGTGGCCCTGGAGGTAAAGCTCAGCGGCGCGGCGTGAGCCATTCACTGCAGCCAACCTGGCCCTCGCGGTGGGCCGTGCGCTCGCGCGTCCACGTCCTCCTCCTCTTTGTCCCTGAGGCCCAGCTTCTGCGCGAGTTTCGCCGCCTCGCGCTCCAGCCCGCCCCGCGGCGGCGAGCCTGGCAAGTAGGTCACGCGATGCTCTTTCTCATTGCCGCTCGCCGCCGTGAGTCAACTGCAGGGCCTCCATCAGCGTGCGCCTGCAGCTCCCCCGCCTGTTCGCCTGCTGCTGAACCCCGAGCATGATCTGCAACTTGAAGCGACCCGGGACTTTGGCCTTCTCCTTGTCGCACCAGCATGCTTCGGGAGGCCATCAGCTCGAGCGCGTTCGGGGCCATGATGACCTTCTGCCAGTAATCCTTGGACAGCTCCTGAACTGGCGCTGGCGCGGTCGCTGCCCCATCCGCGCAAATTTGGTGGGCGCCTTGAACGCGCGGGGCCACGGCGACCCGCACCTGCGCCCCTT